TTATTTGGGTTATTTAGGTGCAACTCACTGTCTGAGGACTAGGCGTCGGGCGATGGTCTTCTGGGTGAAACAGTAGAAACGTGCCAGCTCAATGTTGTCAGGATTTTGTGCTAGAACACAGTGTGCAGCCTGTTGAGATAACATGTGTTTGACCGACACATTAGCTACATCTGTGCTAATGTTGACATGTGAACGTGTGAAGATCGTAAACCGTTTTCTACCTGATAGAGAAAGTTAAGTCGTAAGTAGGCATCTCTATCCTTCAAACCTGCCATATCACCAACAAATTAATCCAACGTTAATTTTCACTGAATACAACGCAGCCCTTCACTCGAGTCGGTGTAGCAATGGTGCCAAGCAAACGTCCGGGTCACATTTCAAAATAAAACTGCATGTTCCATCACAGTCGTAGCGATCAAACTTCTAATATTTGCGTAATGGTTTTGGCACCAAACACTTTCACAAAAGCAGGTGTATTTCCATTTATTAGAGTGCGCAGACAGGGGTGTTAGTTCAGAACATTAAAACAAAATCATAATTCCAGCTTTTGTCTTCTAACTATTGCCATCCCGCTCCAGCTACACAATATACACGAGAAAGGTTTGAGGCTAGAAGGACACAAAGGACAGAGTAGGACAATAACTCACTTTTAATAACAATAAAGAAGAACGTATAAACCCTGTCAATCTAACAATTTAATCTGCCTGTAAGGTGCACCTGTGATATCAGGAGACTAGTGATACTGACAGAGGAACTGGTACAGTAGGCCAGGTTTGGCAATTAGACTGCCCGAGACACAGTCTCTTAACACTTCCATTATCATGAAATGCTGTGGATTGTTTCCTATAAAACCTGCAAGACATAAAAGTCCATACAACACGTCTAATGTTGACAGAGCCAGAATACAGTATAGCAAGAAAGGGGCACATATGAAATTCAAGTATCAAAATAACTAAGACAATGACAAGCTGAAAAGGTAATTACAAAGGTAGTAAAAATCATGGGAAAAGGACACAGACATAATCAACAATACATTAGGCAACAGTTGCATTTGTTTAAGGCAGTTGATTAAAAAAAACAAAAAAAACTAAAAACGAACTAGGCATCTTCTTCATTCCAAGTTAAATACAAGCCTAGCCCTAAGTTGTTGCCAAGATATTTGTTGTACAAAATGACTACGCCTGACTCTTGAAATTAAGCACTTGTTTGACTTGTCTTCTGAAATCTGAGTTCATGCGGACAGCGGTGGGGTGTGCTCCATTTTGGTCTTCTTCACAGTGAGGTGTGTCAGGGCATTTATGGCTGGTGCATCAAGAGTGGCAAATCTCTTAAAAACCCTCAGCCTATTGTCTGGCACAAAATCTAATTCATTGGCACATTTCGGTGCACAGCATGGGGACGCATGCGAGCTACTGTGGACAGCTAACGGTTGCCTTTCATGGCCTCCTTGGCTGCCAGGATGAGGGGCGTGAGACTGGAGAGGGGCTTGGCCAGCTTCAGGAACGGATGCTGCAAACCAAGAAAGTTGTACAATAAATTAATACATAATACATTCTAGAACTTAAGTGAATGGATTATAAAATTTACACACCTGCAAGAGCTCTTTGCCTCCACCTCTTTTCTCCACATCCATTTCCAGACAACGATTGAGGAAGTCTCTGAAGACTGGGGAGAGCTTCTCTGGGTTTTGAAGTTCAGGAGTGCCATTGGTGGCAATCAGGTACAATGCCTAATGGGAAACAACATTAGCAAATTCTGGGTATAATTAATTTTGAAGAATTAAATAAAAAAATAACTGAATAAAATCAGTAGTCATCAAGAATGAACAAAACAATTACTTAATATTATACCCTTGAAATACCCTGGAGGTATAAAAACAGTTCTTACACGTAGTGGGTTTTCATTCAGATATGGAGGCTCTCCTTCCACCATCTCGATGGCCATGATTCCCAAAGACCAGATGTCAACTTTAGGTCCATAGGCTTTTCTTGTCACTACTTCTGGGGCCATCCAGTAAGGTGTGCCCACCATGGTACTTCTTTTGCTCTGCTCTGGAGTTATTTGTGCACAGAAGCCAAAATCCGCTGCAGAAGACAATAATTAATGTGGCTCACGCACATTTTTATTATTATTTTCTTTGTATTAAGAGCTGCACAAAACCACTACATTTCCCTATTGTTAGACCAATAAACTTCTATCTTATCTAATAATTCTAGTAAAGCTGCAACACCATTAGTAGGACTTACTGAGTTTGACGGAGCCATCCATCCCAAGTAAAACATTGTCACTTTTGATGTCTCTGTGGATGACTTGATTGGCGTGCAAGAATTCCAGCGCTTGTAAACACTAGAGATGTTGAAATAGATAAAATGGTGATTTCAAGTGTTTGAGCTATATTCAATAAATGCATATGCTTTTTTTCAGCATAAAACGTACCTCTCGGCAGACAGCAGCAATCTGAGCCTCATCCATACAAGTCTCTGTCACCACATCTGTCAATGAGCCTCCTGCCAAATACTCCATCACCACAAAAAGTTCTTCCCCCATTAGGAAACTAGCATAACAAGACAAATTAATTAGATCTTTTTTTTTTTTTTTTACTTACACATTTTGAGATGTCAGTCATTTTTTACCTGTCTAAAAAGTTGACAATGTTGGGGTTCTTCAGTTCCTTCATCACCAAAATCTCATTAATAATGAGTTCCTTCTTCGGCTGTTTTTGTAGGTTGATCTGTTTGATAGCCACCTATGGCAAACATAAAATAAAAGGGCAGTTGTTCAGGACAAATATATGTTTAAAAAACCATGCACCATGCATTACTACAATATTAATACTGCATTGATTCATATGCAAGTAGGGGTGTGCAGAAATATTGATATAGTGTATCATTCACATCTATGTGATCTATATTGTGGGCTGCTGCATCAATCGCCAAGAGTACCTTTTTGGTATATTTTACTCAATTTTTTTTTTTTTTTTATAGTGCTACAGTTTTGTTGCTTGTTTAGACACATATTCACTGTTTTGATGATCATTATTGGTTTGTTTCATATTAACTTTGCACAAGAAGTGGTTTAACAGAGAATTTTAGCATCCCAGCCATGATTTAGACTTTATTTTTATTGAACCGTATAGAATTGTTTTAAAATATGCTGTATCGAATTGAAAGTGCACTGTATCGAGATATGTATCGTAGCCTATATATCGAGGTATGTGTTGTATTGGCAACTTCTTAATTATACCCAGCCATATATACAAGTCTCAATTGCATGGTTGGGATAATTTTTTCTTTTATTCCTACCTCTTGTCCGGTTGCAACATCAATGGCTGTAAATACTGTTCCTGATGCTCTGCAATATACAAATTAACCATTCAACTCACATTTATTTTACAGGCAATTATATAATGTCAAATCAAGTTAATTCAGTCACTTACCCCTGTCCAATTTTCTCATATCTTGTGTACTTCTTTTTGGGGTCTCCAATGCTAACTATGGTTCCTGTAAGAATTTTAGTACATACATATTTGTGTACACATATACATGAAGCAGTCTAATGAGAAAATAAATAATATTTACTCAGTTTGTCCATAATCTCCTCATCAGACATTTTGTTTTTCTTTTTCTGTCTGTCAGCTGCTTTAGAGGCTGCATCACCATCAGGGCATGTGCTTGGAGCAGGAATAGGATCAATAACTGAGCGGGTATACACCTGTGCAGAAAAAAATAATTAAGAAAAAAGTAAATTAATGTTATCATTTGTTTTATTTGTACTTTTAATACAACTTTGAAACATACACTTTTTGTATGCTCTGGTCTTGGAGCCACAATCGGAGGAGGAGTTTCATCATCATCATCATCATCAATGTCTTTAATATTTGGAGAAGGTTCAGTGCCTTTTTTGACAGGCTAAATTATTGAGAAACAAAACATCACCAATGCAAAAAAAAAACAAAACATTGAAGATCAACAATCACATCTATATAAATGTGAAGAACTTACAGATTGAGGGCCTGGAGTGTATGCATCTTTTTCTGTGAAAATACAAATAAAAAGGTTAAGCATTCAATTAAATGTTACTCTTCTTTATTAAGTGTGAATTCAGTGAACAAAAATGACCTTTGAACTTTTCACAAATATACAAATATGTTTTATGAAACAATGAATCACAACACAATAACATTATTTTTTCTAATGGCAAAACAGTATACAGAACACAGTCATCCAGTTGAAATTCATTTTGAGCCCAATACTCACCAGAAGAAGATAAGCTGAGGTACTTTTGACGTCCATTCCCTGTAGAGTCATAAAATTTTAAAACATCGAGCACGGCTTGTGGGTTTTTCTTCTGCTCTGACTTTGTGATGTTGGACGTCTGGAGTAATCGTGCCCACTGCTCTGGCATGCCCTAAGCGAGAATGTCAACAGTTGGGGAATATTAGTTAAGCCTTGACAAATACTGTATGTCATGCAAGTTATTTGATGAATTAAAAAGACCCCAAACTTACAGTAAACTCCCCTGTGACAGCATCAAAGCCTACATGGATGGTGTGTTCAAAATCTGAAGGAGGGGAAATTTCTGGACGCTCTTTATCTCTGTCCTTCTTTCTACCACCTGCAAAAAACAAATGAATATGCATCCAAATACATTCATCTGCAAACAATAAAAAGACAAAAGGATTCTATCATACTTTTCTCAGCCCCTGAGAAAATTGAGATGATTTTGTTGCGAGGTTTCCTTTCTTCGGGGACAGAGGGCAGAGGTTTGGAGCTATGGTTGGCAGAGAGAGAGTCTTTCCCAGAGCTGGTGCTGAAGATGGTGCTGCTCATGCGAACAGGTGGAGCAGGAGGTTTATCCTCGGCGTCTCCGTTATCACACATTGTGGTGCTTTGAAATATCACAGGGCAGAGGGGCTCGGTGGGGGCAAACAGACAGAGTGAGCCAAGCAGCGCTCACATCAGCATGAGGCACTCGTGAGCTCATGCACAGCCAGATGAAGAATGCACCAATAGGTACCTGCAATAAAGAGATGCACATTAATTTCCATGCAAAAAATGATTGCAAACGCATGTACAATGTATTAATGTATTTAATATATTTCTGCTCAGAACTGTATTTCTAATTTCAGACTACGGTTCCTTATACTAGACCTATACCTAGTTAGATAGGCATATTAGCATATTAGTAAGATAGAGAGTAAATTGTAATGAGAATGCCGTGCATAATCATGAGACACTAAATGTGCGAGGTGGTGTAACAGTCTTGTATTTACAATTTTGTTCTTTTTCTTTTATAATTTCCAAGCACAGATTTTTACTTTAAACGCCCTTCAAATGAGCAACAACAGCGGGGCGGCTATGTTAGCACATAAGGTTAGCACGAACTAGGGTGCTAGCAATCAGCTAATGTTAGCAAGATAAGCTACACTTTCAATACACTGGATACCACGAAGTTTTCACGCTAGTGCTTACATATATCCGCAAGATTTTAAGATAATTATATACATTTGAGAATGAAAACTACTAACAGCAACGAGTTAAATGTATGTATGAAAAAGGATACTTTAGCAACAATACTGCCTGTGAACTTTCGGTGTAGATAGCGCTTTATTTGTAACGTTAGCTTAGCGAAGACGGCACAGGAGCCGCAGAGCTTACCGGAGAAATCCACACCAGCTCAACTTGAACACAACTTCACTCCAGATCAATCCACGACACTTCGTCTTACCCTTATTAATCCATTAAAACGTTTCTTTCGCTATACAGAGCCTCGAACACCCACCAGTTTATATAAATTAGAAAAATATGCGAATATAACTATTTACAATGCAACTTTTCTTGTATCTTCTGGGCCCTTGGATAATTCCGCTATGGCGAAGGGGAAGCGGAACTGCCGACCCAACCCAAGTCTATTCAGTAATGTTTCCAATGATTGGTGTAAAAGTCCATATTTCCATTTACAGCAAGAAGCAGTCGAACAATATTATAAAAAAAAATATTTCAAATGGAAAACTAGAAATGATTTTTTTTCTATTCAAGTATTACCCAGAGGGCTACTTCTAAATTACTTTAAATAATAATACTTTTAAAAAGCATGTATCAGATTTTATGAAATATACTTTATTATTATATACTTTTTTCTTTATTTTTTGGTTTTGTTTTGAAAAAAAAAAAAAAAATTGGAATAAAAATTAAAAACTCTACATTTCATATGTCCTTGTCCATGCTGATTTGGTCAGTGCCACAGTGCAGATTATTGTCACAAGAAGTGTCCCTCCACACACAGGAATGACCAGGGATGCATCTCCTACTGGAAGTTGCAGCGTCACAGGTTCAGGCTGCTATAGCACAAGACAAAAACATTTAATATTAAGTATCAATGAGCTAGGATTGTTAAAGGATCTGTATATAGATTGTACTCTAGGAGTTTTATAAAAGGAACTACAATCACAATTGAGCCTAGGTCGCCAGTGCCTTAACCAGCATATAGAGGACACATACAAGTGTTTCCCCCCCCCTCATTCTCAGTATATGTCCTGCCCATGCCTCAAGCTCAGAACCTCCAGAATTCAATCACTGAGCAGCAGTGGCTGCTCTAGCAGTAATTAATGGTGGCTAAGGTAAGGACCAAAACACCAAATTTCTGAAAAATAACTCATCATATCCAATGTTTTTGTGATAAAAATGAATCAGGATTACAGTTGACATCTATCTCGTATCTGGGGGCACAATTAGGTCATGTTTATGGAATTTTAATGCATAATTTTACAAACAGTTCCTTTGGAGTTTACATATAATGACAAAAAAAAAAAAAAAAAAAACCTCTTGAGGTTGAACTTGAATCCACTGACAGGTGCTTGAGTTGTCTGCAGTGCAAGGTGCATCCACAACAGTTGTGGTGAAAGAGTCCAAGTTGTTGAGTTGTGTGCCTTTGAGAAGACAAAATTAAAAAAAATAATTACAATTTAGACATTTTTTAAAAACTTGAAGCTGTACATGGTTCTGTGTTTAGCTCTTGTCTCTCAGCACGAAGGAATTGAGTTTGCATGTTCTCCCTGTAAAGCAAAAGATGTTCATTTTGTCTTCTTATATACTTTAACTTCTTGGGTTCTTTTGAAAGACAATGCAGTAAAGTGTGTCAACAAGATAAACACACTTTACTGCATTGTCTTTCAAAAGAACCCAAGAAGTTAATGTTCTCCCTGTGTTTCCTCCATGGGTTCCCTTTTCCCATAGTAGCAATGTGTGTAGGTGTGGCAACTCAGAAGCCTCAGTCATTTGATCTATGGAATTTTGAAAATTGTACTGTATATATAATGACACATACTGCAATTTAACTAAAGCTGTTTATAAGATAGTGCCACATTAATAGTAAACAATTGAGCACAAATCTTCTTTATTAAGATCAGTCTACATCTTTCTCTCACTAGGGCTGGGTATCATTAAGGAAGTTGCCGATACGATACAAACCTCGATACATAGGCCACAATATGATACATATCTCGAGACGATATATTTCAAGTCGATTTGATAAAGTTCAATAAAAAATTATGTCTAATGATGGCTGTGATACTAAAAGTCTTTGTTAAACCACTTCTTCTGCAAAGTTAATATGAAACATGCCCATTTTAATCATCAAAGCAGTGAAAATGTCAAATGTGTTGCATAAACAAGTGTCCTTCCTCTAAACAAGCAACAAAACTATAGTGCTGTAACAAAATAATTTTGTAAAATATACCAAAAAAATACTCTGTGATGTATCAATACAGCAGCAGTAGCACGATATTGATACTGTATCATCACATTAAATTATACTATTTATTGATATTTCAGTATTTTTGCACACTCGCAAGGGCAGCAGTCTAAGTCCTTGCTTAGACTGCTGCCCCCGCGTCCCGGCCCTGGATAAGCGGAAGAAAATGGATGGATGAATGGATGCACAATCCTACTCATGACTCATTCCACCTCAGCTGAAAGATAAAGCCTTTGCTTTTATTGTCAATTCAAAAATGTACAGAAAATATATGCTTACAAGTTTCTATACCCTGCAGCAGCAGACTGGGAGGATGTATGTCTACAGAAGTGAAAGCATTCCCATGGTAAGATGGTTTTTGGTACCGACCATGGATAGGTATGGTCAGGTTTATTTGTCCAGATGTTAATTCTTCTAGATGTGGAAATAAGTGTGTGACAAATCCTGAGGACTTGTGGGCTGGCGTCTCAAGGTCAATGGTTGAGTCTAGTAGCATCTTACAAACAATAACAAATCATCAAATATCAGTATAGCGGTAATATGTATTTAATAATTCAACCACCACATCTTTTACCTCCCAGTTTCGTTGATCCTTCAGTGATGCAAGTTGAAATGGGTCAACATAGATGTCATTAGGCCAGCTGTAAACTAGCAAAATCTTGTTGAGAAGACCACTATTGTTGAACCGAATAATCGTCACCAATTCTCTTCAACACAATAAATGGGAGAGAATTCAGTTAATCTGTTATTGATGATTCATGCCTAATTATTTACACATGGAATAATACCTATGGAAACCTGACTTTTTAAATTCCATTGATACTTTAATGTGCTCCAAAAAGTTGCAGTCATCTGATGCATCCGCAAAGAACATGAAACAGAGGCGGGGAAGGGATAACAAATAAATACATAAGAGAAATTAAGTTGTAAAATTTGATTAGTTTAGCTGACACCAAAACCAACTGCATATTCAGGTTATAAATCTTACCATGTTCATTAAAAGAGTGGCACGTTGATAAACAAGCCAGTGTCAAAAACAATAGCGAAAACATCAAATCGATAGCGGTGAGCAGCTTTAAGAGTTTACTTGTTTGATTGTTATGAATTATTTCGCTTAATTTTGATCAAAATGTTTACGGAAAAGATTTCGAAGGACCCTTGCCTGAATAAGGGCGTTCTAACTATGCCTGGTTAGAAATGAGTAATACGAGCCCAAAAAGTAATCGATAATAATTTTGAAGCTTTAAAGAACTTCACATTTTCTTCTAAATAGTTACAGAGAGTAAAACTCGTTCAGTAAGAATATAAAGTGTTAAGTGTCTACATTTAAGTTAAGGAAAACAGGCTTCTCTGTGGATAGACGCTCCCATCTCCGGCTGCCCAGGCAACCGAGCGGTAGCACAGCCGCTTATTTCACTTCTGCGTCTTTTTCTTCCAAATACCCTCAGAAAACAAGAGAAGAATGTATTTTAGAGGCATATTTGCATTAATGTTATAGTTTGGACTTCGTTGGATTTGATGAAACAGTCTGAAGATGAACTTTGAGGCAAAGCGATGTGGGGTGCTGTTTAGTCCTCCATCGATCATTTTAATTTATGAAAACAAGTCAACCAACAAGCTTCGGAAGAGAATCATCCCTGTGCGGAAATACTCAAAGGATTCAGGTACCAAATTGGTGTGACATCTGATTCCTTTTTATTTGTTTGTGGATGGTGAATAACGGCCTTTCTCTCCTCACCTTGACTGTCAGACTATAGGAAGGCAGCAGAGACTCTGAAGAGCCATCCTCGCCATAGGGACTACCTCCAGAGTGTATCCCAGAGCCAGCTTGAGAGACTGCACATCATTTTACGGGACCACATGCAGGGCCTAAGCCTGGAGCAAAGTCTCGCCTCTTTTCGGTTAGACCCTGAGCAAGATCTCAACAAACTGGGTGACGATGAATTGGCTCGAAAGAAGGGCAAAATGGATGAACTCTTTGAGAAGAACAGAAAAAGAAAAGACGATCCCGACTTCGTTTATGACGTGGAGATCGAGTTTTCAGCAAACCAGGAAAAGTGCAGCTGGGATGAGGAGTCAGATGATGGATTTTAAATTGTTATATAAAATTAATATATTTTTGGACTTGCAAACAACTAAATATTCAAATATGCAACACTACCCGAGACAAAAAAGCATTCATAGTGGAATAATATTTATTTGTTATAAAATACTGACTTTGCAAAATACAAAGACTTTGGCTCCTCAATTCTGGTTTACACCTACACAAAATGATTTTCACAGCTAACTACAAAGAATATCCTAAAACTCTATTAAATAAAATTTGAATTTTGACATACCACAAATATATCTTTGGAACACATTCCACAAAATATTGGTTTATATTGTATAAAATATACTGTTTCAATATGTTTGAAGTTATGAATAAAAGAATAGGCTTAAACAACACAACATAATATAAAAAAAGCCTGCATACCAAACTACATTAGGAAAATTTCATTCAAAGTGCTTATAAACCCTTTACATTTGACAAGACACTGTGCGACTGACCATTAGTACCACAATACATTCAAATATGTCGCAAATAAAAGGAAAAAATTATGATTGAATATACACATTTTGATAAAAAATTTACCAGTGTCAGTTGCAGTCATTTACGCAGTGCTGATATGCCTCTTAAAACATAATATACAAAAGAGGTAGGTAACACAAAAAGGAAAGAGATTGTAACTTTTTTGCCACCATAAACAATTTGAATATTTTTTTAGAAAGGGAAAATTCTCAGCAGGCTTTTAATTCCTTAAAAATATAGTTCTATGTAAAATTTTATTCAAGTTTCCTAAAGTCTAAATCCAGAATTTTTGCACTGTTGTGCTACCTTCAATACAATTTACAAATCCTGCAGCTGACCTGGATCATGCACATGCCAAGACATAGGATTAAAACAGTGCCAAAAGTGTATTTCAAATCTGGATTTGACTTTAAAGCAAAGCATAACAATTTTGTTTTTCATTCAGAAATGTTTTAGCTGAAATATACATATTCATGTGTTACACAAAGCTACAAATAATATAAAAATCTACATCCTATTTCTTCTTTCTGTCTTGAGTGCATCTTGGACAAAACCTGCAAAAAAGAGATAATTAAGACTACAAGCACAAAGTATACTGTACTATTATAGTGAGAAGTAATACACAACTTCTTACCATTTTCCTTTGGGTTTTGTAGTTAGATCGACACATGCAAAGTGAAACCACTCAATCGGACACTAAAAAAAAAAACAAACAATGTAGGTTATTAGGTTGTTAATCTACCACAACAATACACATTATGTGGTATAATAGTTTTGTAACAAAGCCTACATCAGGATTATCACATCCAATCATCTCTCCATATGACACCTGATGGCACAGACAATAGGTGGGCTCATTGGGATCAACTGGCATGTCTAGGACATCAGATGGTTGCATGGGCAGGAGAGCGTCACTCAGGTCTGGGCTAAAATAGATAAATAATATTGTATTAGCTTTCTGATATCATCTCTATTTCTCTAAGGGATCAGAAATGTAGTCTTACCTTTTCATCTTTTTCTTTCTTGGTGAATCTTCATCAGAGCCTTTCCGCCCTCTTCCTCTAGAGCCACGCTTTTCCCGCAGTCCCCTGGATTCTGCTTCTGTATTAAGAATGTATCACTATGTTATGACATATTATTATCATTATTATTATTATTACTAATGAATAGAGGTGTTGTCCAACATTACTTTTTAAGCCTCTTCCTTCTGCACTCTCATAGCCACTGACTTCAAGTTTTTCCTTAAGCTCATTCTCAAATCTTGCAAGATCTGCATCTAGACGGCGAATATGTTTGTCCACCTTATAAAAGTATAGAGGCATGTATTTTAATAACAGACCAACTACAAAATGTGCATAACACTAATAAAAACATACCATTTCATAGGTCTGCATTGCTAGCTGGACCTTGTCATCACTAAACTCTTTGCATTTGCTGTAAGCATTTTGTATCTTCTGCAGGTGATCCACTCGCTGCTCTGATGCCAAGTTCTTCACATTCAAAATATATTCTTCAGCCAGTTTATCAATCTCTGCCTTTTTTTCTGAAAAATGAAAAACAGGAAAAAAATTCTTACAAAAATACTCTTTATTTATAGTTTACATTCTATTATGACAGTTGTTGCTGCTCACACGTAGGTTAATTGCAAATTATGCAGTAGCTATTCTCAGATACAGTGACTGAAGCTGAATGAATGTTATGTGTGATTACCTTCTGTCCTATTATCAAGATCTCGCATCAAAGTGAAGTTTCTTTGTAGCTCACATGGCAGGTTTTCAATGCCTACACACAAAAACACAGTAATTAAGAAATTTGGGGCAGTTTTATATTTCAAATCAACTGCTAATTTTTCCGTTTACTCATATTAATAAAATCTAACATTCTCTGTATATATCACAACCAGCATTAATAATTGCTCTATTGCAGCCCCTCGTGGCTGGACAAAGTGGCACACTCCACCCAGGCGCGTAAATGCTTTCGAGAAACGCGGACACCAACAGGTTGAAAATCATGTAAATTGAATAGGCATCAAGTAAATCAAACTGAACCAAATCAAATAAAATGTACATACTTGCATGCTAAAACATGAAAGTCCACATTTTGTTCACATATTATGGGCCTATAAAGGATGTGTCCTAAATAAAATGTAGTGCGCATGTCGGTTCACTAAAACCCATTTAAACGATTAACATAAAAGAAAATAAGTAATTTCTCTGAATCTTATATCCTTAGATCGGTTTAAAACGCAAAACAGCGCTTTACATTACTGCAGGCTAGATTACGATAGCGTGCTAGGTTGTTAGCATTAGTTGTAAACACGACCTAACGTGTAATTAATCTGATGACTTTTTAGTTTTATCACTAGTAAATTATGTATTAAAAGATGCGCTACTGTTATAGGTAGTTGATACTATAAGATGCTTACTGTCAAGGTAATGCTCCAAGTAAATAGCCGTCGCCATTTCAGATGTAGCTTGTATGCTATTCAAGTGTTAGCTCCTGTGAGCGGGGTAAGTTTGTTTTGTGACTCTGCGTTGACCGGGCGGACGTCACTGTTACTGAGCGGGGCTGCCACTTAGTGTGTGTTAGTATCATTAATGTTTGTCAAATGTGGTCTGAAATCGCACCAAACATATGTAGTTTTACTGATTATTGTAACCGAAGATTCGTTACAATTTAAACATTTAATTTGTGTTTTGTTTCTATCATATCAGAGTCAGCTGGTGCGATGCGTCACCGTTCCTGCTGGGTGGGCGGGGCAAACCCAGAAATTTCGACGAGAAAAATAGCCCTCTGTCCTGTGTGGGCCAAGCCAGCGGGGTCTCCTCAGTCCAAGGGAAAACATCTCCAAATCAGGCCATTTCTTCGTTTTCCGTGCTCCATATTAAGGTAGGTAAAGTCTGGAATAGAACAACGTCATATGGAAAATAATGTTAAATGTGATGCAGAATCATTGCTCCAATAAGCCTAAGTAAAAAAAAAATGTTTTATTTCTGTATCGGCTACTTGTCATCCGTTTAACGCTACTTTATCTTTTTAAGACTTGCATAATATTAAAGCGAATGTCAGCAGGTCTAGCCCTAGCCATTATACAGGCCTCCCAGTTCTTCAGTAGCTATGTAAACACTTTGTCAAAACAATAGACTTAACTTTTATTCAAGCATGTAGGCCTAGTCTTATTTAAGTGGGTCAAATCAGGATAGATCATGTATCTAGATGTAATATGGTGTCATTCATATTGCAGCCTTTGAATAAATAATAGTTAACGGCGCCTTTATTTTGAGGCCATCTGCCAAAGTCACGGGGTGCTTAGGATCACGTGACACGCCCTATATTATTCAAACAAATAATTGTGTAATAAATAGTGTCTTTATTGTTCAGGTTTTCCAGTAAAATGGCTATGGTAAAGAGTGGGTGGCTCCATCGACAAAGTAAGTACTGACTGTAACAAATCTATTAATACATAGGCTATTTAATTTACAGGAATCCCTAATGCTTGTTTTTAGGTACCATACTTCGCCGCTGGAAGAGGAACTGGTTTGATTTGTATTCAGATGGACGTCTTGTGTTTTACAATGATCAGCAGAGACGGGACATGGAGGATGACATCCATATGAAGATTGACTGTATCAACATTCGCAGTTCTGCCGCATGTCAAGGTGGGCTCTCTTCTCATAGTCAGTTGTAATAATAATATCATCTTGGTTTTAAGTTACTGACTTATTCCTATTTCATATTACCAGACCTAAATCCACCTGAAGGAAAGGCACGTGACTCCTTGCTCCAGATTGTGTGTCGGGATGGAAGGGTCATCAGCTTGTGTGCGGACAGTGCCGACGATGCTTTGTAAGCTAATGTTTGAAAGCAGTATTGTTTTAGTTCCTTATTAAGCTTGTATTAATATGTAACATTTTATAATTGCAGGGCATGGACAATGGCATTCCAGGATGCTAGGGTCAACATGGTAAGAGTGTGCTTTATATAAAATAAATACATTACTATATTGCAAGAACACATGGATAGTATGACTGGGCAATATTGCAAACAAATTAATACATTTTTTGTTTTCTTAAACAAGACAGCTACTTCTAGTCACTCCAATGCCATTTAACACAAGTCTAGCCCCTGCCACAAACCACATTTTAACTACCACAAGATCTGTCTTGAGCTTTTGATTAAAATCCCTAATCTTTTCATTTGAAACAGTCAGATCACAATATGATTAAAATTGGATGCATTTCAGAGCGCTAGTGGATAGTTAAGTTTGTACATTTTTATATTATGTTGTTTTGAAACTGCCCAAACTGGTAAAGGTGAATTTCATGTAAATATCAAATAGTCTTGCTGTTTCTGTTAGTTGTCTTATATTTTGCATTTATCTTCAAGGTTGTTGCAGCTCCTCAGATGGGTTTTGTGTCAGAAACCATGGCTTCAGCTCCACCCCCCTATTCAGAATATGCTCCAAATCCCCAGGTAAACCAAACCAGAGGGGATTATGCTGTTGTTTTGCTCTCTGTGTTGCACCCGAAGAGAAAATCAAAAGCTGATGAATTTTCACAAAAGTAGCGACATATATTTATTTTGTCTGTATAAAACCTTTACTTATCGCCATGCTATTATCATTAAGCTGTCATGTTTTTGTCCTATTTTTTAGGTCTATGTTCCTGGTCCATATGGAGACTACACTGCTGCTCCACCAACTCAGATTGTGTACTCATCCAATGGAGAGCCATATGCTGTGGCTTACCCTTATCAATACCAAGGTAAAGATAAAATCACCATTCATTAGACATACATACATCTTGACAATTTCTAACCCAAATACTTTACTTTAATAATTTTTGTTGTTCATTAACTTTGGAATTTAAATGAACAAGAAATATACTTTAGGGTAATATTTTTTTAAATTGTGTGACCAATTTTGTTTTAGTGTTGAATATTCTCTGTAAATATGAACAATACGTAAGACTTTTAAGGCAATAAGAAACGTTTGATATTGCTTTTAAGAATCATAACACTGTACCACCCATCGTCATGTTTCAGGTGGGTACATGGCCCCTGGTCCTGGGGTGAACCACGTCATCATTCAGGAGCAGCGACGGGACAATGGGGCTGACATGGCTATGGGAATGCTGACTGGAGCTGCCACTGGTCTCGCCCTCGGATCTCTTTTCTCTGTCTTTTAATATAGATTTACTCGAAAGTACACACGGTTAAGCCCAATGTTATTCATATGCTCGGAAATAACCTAAATCTCACAACTAAATAAGTGAAAGAAAGGATATGGGATTAATATACTGTGTGGAGTGTCCAAGACCTACTCCATGTGATTGTGAAAAAAAAAACTAAGACCAAAATAAAAATATCAAGAAAATAAATATTAAGAAGTCAACATTTTTCAACATTTGACAGTTGTTATAAAGATGATCTTACTTAGAGTCTGAATAACGTAGTACAATTTAACACATGCTTACCACTGCTTTGCCTCTTCCTAGAAATTGAGACTAAAAATTGTCTGAGCTGTAAATAATTTTGGTCTTTGTTGTACTTGGAAGCACATTGTACTTTATGCTGTGGCCATTATATTAATAAATGTGACAATGGCCATATTATAAGGTACACCCTCATTTACCTGATTTGATCGTGCACTGTAGCTCACTGGGTTGTTTCTCTTTTTAGGACATTTTTTGGTCAATTATACCTATCACTGTAAGTAAATCTATTTATAGATATATCTGTATAGAACAGCACTTCAGCTTTTTGACTTCTGATATTTATCTTCAAATCAAAGTTGCTTCCTTGTTACTGCTTTATTATATTTTTTCATCAGAAAAGGTGTCACTAATGTGGCCTTTGAGTGTTGGTTTAAGTTGAATCATGAATGTAATGGGCAGGTTAATTACTTCCTGTTTTCCTAACACTCCTTGCACTTTGTCTTATGCCATGACCATTTCTAAATGGTTACCCTCATTGCCTGCTTTGAATGATATCAACCAAAAAGTGAATATTTATTTATTGTAATTCTAATTTATTTAAAGGGTCCTTTTATTTCATTCATTTGTTTTCAGCTTTTTCTATTTGTTCAAGTAGCTTTGTATTTGTTTTACATTGTTGTTTTCATCACTCGATTGTGCTTTTTGTTCTTATATGGAATCATATTTTCCTTGTTGTGTAGCATAAATATTTAGCAGTTTCTCAGGTTACTTGTGGTGATATGCAGGCTTCGGTAAATGCACAAAAAACAGCAATAAATTAGCATTTAAATGTCTTATGTATATACACAGTTTTGTGATAAAAGCTTAAGGCATGACCATGTTTGTTTTAAATTTGCTTGAGTGAAGTCATATGGGTCTTCTCTGTACATTATAATGGGTGCATTTATAAATATATCCACTTTGGCAGCTGCTGTTATGTTATTCTGTTTTTTTTTTGTTTTTTTTTCAGTTGACCCATGTCTCAAATACTCAAGTCTGTATGTATAGTAACTGCCTTCAGGATATCCACATGTATTTAATTTGCTCTTTAAAATTAATTTAAGATTCAATATTTTGGAAGTTGTTAGTCATCTCATTATCATAATGAAATCTTATCTATAAGATTATTAGCACAGAATTACTTCAGGTTAGTACTTACAGCTTAATGATGTCATCTTGTATATTGTGAATGTACAAAAATAACAGTGCTTACTAAATACTTTCTAACTAAAATTGATTTATTAATTAAATAAACTTCAGCTTTAATTTAACAATGCTTGTTTACTGAACCCCCAGACCAAAATTTATAATACACACATCTTAACAAGTACAAAGTGAATTTGAGTTCTCAATAATAATAATGATAATGCAATAGTGCAAACATTAACTGAAATTTTAGCATTCTGTATTTCTATGTTGGCAGTAACAGATACCCCCAAAAGATAATTACAAAATTTACAATTACAAATATTGAAAAATGTATAACACACGCAAATATAGTCATTCATGACACCTTCAGCATAAAGATAAGATTTCATTTAAAAAGAGGTTATGAGTGTTGATGAAGTGTTAAAAGTGCTTTCACCCAAATTATTAATTTAGGGTAAAATCAATCAAAACATAAAAAATTAAACATGTAAACATAACATTTAGTAAGTTTAAAGTACGTTCACAACATTTCTTAAACCATCAGCTGTATCAGTGAAACCTATTTATCCCTCTTGACCGAAGTCCTCAGTGAACTTCTGCAGTTTCTCCAGGTCCTGTTCGTTTACAGTCGGTTTTGTGTTGGCCAAAGACCGTAGCATGTCAGACTGCAAGAGAAAAGTGACACATTGTTTTACATCATTTATTTATTATATATTTTTATGTATTTATGTATGTATTTATTTATTTTTTCTTCAGAAAAAACAACACAAGCACAGGACGAACATACAAGGATCTTAGAGCTTCAATGAAGTTTTGGCAGTGATAAAAATGGCCAGCATTAGAATGGAAAGGAGAATGTTACAGCTGTTAAAATTAGGAATTTTTGAAATGTACAGAGCACAGTAAACATTGAATATTATGGTAATGTGGATGTTACAGCTGCCAGACACGATGCCTAAGATTAAGGAGGAAAGTCAAGAGAAAGAGGACACAAGGCACGAGAAAAAGAAATGCTGAAACTGTTGCAGATTATTGCCTGTATCAACCTCTGGAAGTGTCCGAAAGGAGAAAGAAAAAAATTATGCTTAGAGCTCACCATAGAGACCACAGGCTCCAACAGTTTGTCTCCAGGCACATCGACCCATGTCAAAGCAATGGCATTGGGGTCTCCAGGTGAACAGGGGGTCAGGAGGTCATCTACCACAACATCAGGGTTATTCCAGGTCGAGCCCCGTACCTGAGCCAGACCGAAGGCAAGTGAGAAGTGTTGAATTTTACAAAGCACAATTACAGCACAAAGCCAACACCTACTGTATCTGCACTCTCAAAAGTCTACATTTATTAAAACAAATGAAACTTACCTTTTTGAAGTGGGTAGCTGTCTGGACCTTCCTCACTGGCTGCATGAGTGCATCTCTCACAATGATGCTGATGTCTGCTCCTGAATATCCCTCAGTCTTTTTGCCCAGAGTCACAAAGTCCGCCTCGGTTAAACTGTTGGCGGTGGAGCCCAGGTGCAACTTGAACATGAACGAGCGAGCGTGTTCCTCCGGAAGAGGGATGTAGATGCGTTTTTCAAACCTTCAGAGACAGAAAATATGTTGTTTTTGAATTATTTAAGACATATTTATTACACTAATGCACAAACCTTCTTCTGATGGCAGAGTCCAGAGTCCAAGGGATATTTGTAGCTCCCAAAACCAAGATTCCCTCATTATCGTTTCCAACACCTGAGAAGACAATCTTGTTAGTATGTAAACTATTCAGGTCTTTCAGTGTGAGCATATTAGCCTACAATGTAACATGTGATTAAGGAAATGGAGTGGTCACTGCAACCTTTCCCAAGGGATCTTACAGGCAGCCGAACACAAGATGGTGCTTTTATTTATTGCATCTTTTAGCAAATGTCATAGTATTTTATCTGAGGTGGATGGGGCCTCTGTTAATTTAGTACGACTGTTGTAAATTGGGTGTAGAGTCGTACCCTGCATCTGGACCAGAAACTCAGTCTTGATCCTTCGAGCGGCTTCACTTTCGTTCTCACTCCTGGAGCCGCACAAAGAGTCAATCTCATCGATAAAGATTATAGATGGTTTGTGTTCTCGTGCCAAAGAGAACAGGTTCTTCACCAACCTAGTGTGAGACAACACAAGATAAAAAATATTAGTATGAAGTCATTAGTAGTAGTAGTAGTATTTAAAATTCTGTTATAATGAACCGTCTTACTTCTCACTCTCTCCCAGCCACTTGGAGACCAGGTCGGACGAGGAGATGGAGAAGAAGGTAGAGTTATTGGCTTCTGTGGCCACTGCTTTAGCCAGATATGACTTTCCTGTCCCTGGCGGGCCAAACAAAAGGATGCCCCTCCACGGAGTACGCTTTCCTTCAAAATAAGTAAGAATAACCTCACTTATATTACATGCCCAAAATACATACAGTATAAAAAAACATAACATAAAACATAAAACATAAATTAAGTGTTTCTATTGAACCTGTGAATAGATGGGGGAATTTGATTGGTAAGATGACAGCCTCCTTTAGAGCTTCTTTGGCTCCCTCTAGTCCAGCCACATCATTCCATTTAATGTTGGGCTTTTCCATGACAATGGCCCCTATAATGCAAATGTAAAAGAATACAATTACAAAAAAAACCCCAAAACAAACAATTAATAATATGCTATATTTAGTTTTTAATGCATGGAGTTATCAAAAACACAGTAATTACCGGAGAGTTGATTTTTAAACTTCTTTTTCTCAGTGTCCTCATCATCACTTTCACTTCTGACAAAAACAGAGCACATAATAAAATCTAGCAGTCACAGATGACAAGATATTATGGCTGGGGGCTGGAGCCAAGGGTACACTGTCTACCCTGGATTAATATATAAATGGCAACTACATCCAACTGTGTGTGCAAAAGTGTTCCAGCTACAAACCAAACAAGTTATGTTTACAAAGCTTTCTCATATGTTTTTATGGCTTCAGGTAAATGGTTTTACTCCATTTGTCTACACATAGTTGTTTCTCTGGACTACAGAACTAAATACAAAACTGATAGAACATTCTTGACCATCTCTTGTTTCAAAAATATATTATTTGATGAATAACTGAACCATTCCCACCCCTTGTTGTCCGACTCTTTGACTGGTTTGGCAGGAGGCGTGGACTCCTTCTGCTTTATGTACTGCTTCAGCTGCTCCGCTCTGTCCAGGTATTCTGCACATTTGTCTCGAATGCTCTGTTTGGCTCTATCCCCCTGTGCTTCATCTGCAATCAAATAGTCATTAAAGCACAGACAAATGACAAATATAACTGTATCAATATAGTTAGAGAAGAATTTCTTACATTTTATAACATGTAGGAAGTACTGTATTGCACCCTGGTAGCAACGGAGGGCCTCTTCATAGTTTTTGGCCTTGTCCTCTTCTGATGCTTTGTTGGCAAGATCTATAGCTTTCTAATGAAGACATACAATATCAAACAGTCATGTAAGTTATTGAATCAGAAATAAACTGAAAGAAAAGTCATTTGTAAGTTACAGGTGACAACAAGATGAATTAAAGGCTAAAGCAAATAAAGCAAAAAGTATAATAGTAGGCGTATGGAAACTTATTCATGGGTTTCAGTCTCTTGTTAACATTTTTAGGAGTTTTTAACATTTAATACAATTATTAATTGCTATGGGAACAGTTGTAATTTTCCATCATTCTGAAATTCGTGGATAGACTGCAGTAAAATAAACGAAATATAAATCTCAACCATATCCTAAACCTCAGCTGTAATGATTCATCAATGACGTAAACCACCTGACTTAACAATAAAGGTCAACAATAAAATCTATCTGACTTTAAATATTAATTTGTCTATAAGCTGATGATAATTATTACAATATATTAGTAATAGAAGTATTTTTATTTAACAACATTCTTACGTAACAACTTTAACTACTGTAGTTGTAATCTTCTCACCTGTAAATTGCCTCCTGCCATTGTGCGCTGCTTTAAGAATAAATTAAACCGAGAAATCAGATTCGCCTATAACAGAATGGTAAACACGCAACCGCTTCGTTTTTCTTTTACTATTTAATTTCCATTTCAAAACAAAAAAAAACTCAAGAAGGCGCGTCTCTTCCGCACTAGCGAAAAATGTTGTGACTTCCGCGGTAGTCACGTGACAGGTTGTCCTCTTTAACAGGTGTTCAGCCCATAGACAGAATAAAAAAATACGTCCATGTGTTCAGCCCATTGACCTACAGATCCATGATTCAGCCAAATGCGATGTGCCATTTATGTAAAGGAACTCTATGGAAGATTTTGACTTGAAATGTTATAAATATGACCCATCTGTGTCCCCAGATACAAGGAAGACATTTTCATATAAAATATAGGGATAGCTTTTACTGATAACACGTATAATGCAGAATTATTCTTAACACATTAGGGTTGTTTATGTTTACTTATTGTGCTATTTTGTGTGACATACCATTAAATATGGGACAACACACGGGGACATATCACCTGTGCTTTGGCTGTCAGTTTTATTACATTTATTACAAAAGCAAAATAAAAGTCTGCAACTTATTACAACACTTGTGGTAAACAAAATAAATACTTAGATCAACAGCATGAAGGAGATGATGTACCAGTGCATCTCAAAAATGACATATTGTGGAAAAACTAATAAAAAATACAGTAAATATACAGTACACTAAATGACAGCTTAAGTTTGTTTAAAAAAAAAAGGGTTAATTACATACATTAATCTATCAGTTAAATGAAAAATAGCATATGCATTCCCCCACAATAGTTGTATTTTTTAGATGCACTTGTATTTGGCAGACATTCATTTAGGTTACTCTATTTTGATATGATACAGTATACTAGTACATCTTTGGCCATGGTCAGTAGCAGGCTCCATGACTGTTGAATAATTGATTATCGTTTAGGCTAGTGCACATCACGGCGAGGTCATTAGTCCAACATCAACTGGGCCCATTACAGATGCTCGGATGTAGGAGCCTAAGGATTCTTTCGTTTTTAGTGAGATCTGCTGGAAGTTCATTATTCTGCAAATTAGACATAAAACAAATACATTTTAAGTAAGAAAGCATACATTTTACAATTATTTTTAGATGTAATAGTTATACCTTGTTGGGTAATGCTGGGTCAGCACTGGCTCCAAGCAGCAACTGAACTGTGCGTAGATCACCTCCCAATACGGCGGCATGGAGGACTGTATAACCATTCTGTTGGAAAAAGTAAATAAAATTAACAATATGTTCTAATTACAGATAACAAATACAATGCAATTCTATTATCGCAATAGGTTTGAAAATTGTACCTTGAGGACACCAAAGGAAGGAGAAAACTTGAGAAGTTCCTCTACAACACTATGATGTCCCTTTAAAGCGGCTTTGAATAATGCTGTGGTGCCATCCTTTATATAAACAAGTGCAAAACATATTTTAATGCATTGAAAAGGTGAATAAAGATCTCATTTGAAATGCCACTTTAAATTTCTATGTTAATAACATTCCCACTGCAAATACAGTTTGCGTGCCCCTATTTGCAAAATTTTGATAAAATATAGTTCATTCATAAGACATTATGGTCCATGGCCACGGCACAATCTGTTAATTAAAAAAAAAGGATGATAAATACACACTTCTAAACCAAGTTGCTGCTCCTAAGATGATTTTACAATGTTTAAATTTTGGGGCCCATATTCACATGTGCATAATTAGTTTATAGCTTAAATCCTTAAATTTTACCTGTCTGTCAGCATCCCGATCTGCACCTCTCAAAAGTAGAACTTTCACCACTTCACTGTGCCCCATCTGAGCTGCCATCCACAAGGGGGCAGTGCCATCCTGATGAGCACAACAGATCGATGTAGTGGAAATACAGCAGACAGCAGCCAAAACTACAAGGTGTCCTTTGCAAATAATGATTGAAAATGCAAACGTGGACATGTCTATACTTTACCTCTCGGCTCTGGTTCACCTTGGCACCAGATGACAACAGCTGACGGATGACTGTCACATGACCTTCCTGAGCGGCCAGAAACAAGGAAGTGGCTCCATCCTGAAACAAAAAAGTTTCAGAATTATACTGTAACATATCTGTGATAATGTGATAGTATTGAACACACTGTAACTAAATGTGTATAAGTTGTACCAATGCACTCCTGACCATCAAGATCTGGAGAAGAGCCCTTGGCACTGCACTGCACTCGCATCAATCATTTGAATAACTGTTATATAATGTATCCATTCAAATCAACACAAGTGAGTAATGCAAAATGGCAGGCCTGTTTTCCATTGCTGATATGGCAAAATGCCAGTCATGCCTTCCTCTGTGCTCTCTTGTAAACACGAGGCAGGATCCCCGCTGAGGGCACGGGGGGAACTAAAGATCACATCCCAGATGAGAGATGGGTTATCTGGGGTTGTCCTGACTCCGAGAAGGGGCAGAGGAGAGGTTATAAGATTGGGATGTTCAGATGTGGAGGGACTTACACTCAGCTGATCATGAACACTGGCCCCATTCTTAAGCAGGACGTCCACAACGTTGGAGTGTCCGTACTGACAGGCAACAGTGAGAGCAGTGCCTCCATCCTGCTCAAAAGAAAGAAAAACAAACAAAAAGGCATTATATTATGGCATAATCATAAATAGATATCATGTGTTGAAAATCTGTCTGCATTGATTGGCTATGAAAGCTGAATTTATGATTGGCACCATTCAATTATTATCATCATCACATTTTGATCATTTGGGCCTACACAGGCACACATTTGTTTATATAACCTACAGAGATATTTTACAGCTTGATAAAAATATTTGATCATTTTTAATCATGCCTCTTTAATAAATAGTAAGATTTTTGATGACTCATCCATCCAGTGTAGACTGGCTTGTGACCATAATTGTTTTCTGTTGCCTTTACAAAATAATCCGATCTATTTTTGGCATCATGGGAATTCACAATGTTCTTATCAAACAAGTGTCTAAATATTCAATAAGTCATTTTTTGTGCAAAATTTCTTTCATTTCTAACCCTCAGAAGCTGCTGATCCTATGACTCACTCACAGCCCTAGACATGTTTAGATCAGAGCATTTTTGTCCCATACGCCCACTATTATATCAGTATTATATACAACCTCCAGCCAGCGCCATTGTGCCCACAGCAGCATACCTTTGTCTGGCAGTCAGTGGAGGCTCCGAACTCAAAGAGCAGCTTGCACACGTCATGGTGTCCCTGCTGCGCAGCGAAGAACAGAGCCGTCGAACCTGTCTGATCAGGGACACAATAGAAAAGGCTATTTACTTGTTCCTTTACACCTGCCTTGAGAACTTTACCCTGAAATACCACAGAGAGCAGTGATGTGGGGCACAGTTTAAGAAAGGTAATCAGGGTTAATGTACCTCTGGTTTTCTGAATGACATTTTTTTATGTTTATATATTAATAGTTTATGTTTGTATGTTTTATGTTTGCTATAACCTTATGTGCAATTTCTTGATATATTTGAAATGCATATAAAACTGCATTTTTATTCATATGCCAACTAATATTGTCTTGTGGAGTTCTTCCTGAAACACTGGTGAGATCTGCACCTTTCTCATACAGTACAGATGAAAGAAAATTGAGTAATTGTTCTATTCCTTTTTTTTGTAGTTCAGTGTAATTGTACCTCTCTCTGATAGTTGATGTCGGCTCCTTGCATGATCAGCTCCTTCACACAGTCATAATGTCCGCTGTAGGAGGCCACCATCAGAGCAGTGGTCCCATACTGAGCAGAAAAACACACGCAATTAATCAGATGCCCTTTGATAGCGATGGCATTCATTTTTCCACAATAAGCCAGTTTCATTAATTACATAACCTGAGCAATATGATGACTATACAATATCAAACTGTGATCTGGCCTGACCTGGTTCATTTGTAAAGCATGCATATATACAAAATATGTTACATAAGCTTTTAATTTATAAAAAGACAAAGTTAACATGGAAATGGGCATTCCAGTCAGGGGGGTTTCATAGATGAGCC